TTCTGGAAAATGGCAGGGAAGTGTCAGTGAAGATACAGTATTCACTTAGGTTGCAATGAAGGCTGCATTCAGATTAGGACTCATCATACATCGCTAGTGGGAATGCAAATTCTTATAGCCTTTTGGAGAAACTGTTTGGTAGTTTTTTAGATAATGAAACAAATTTACCATACAATCCAGCAATGCCACTCCTAGGTGTTTAACCAAGAGAAATGAAATATAAAGACCTGTACATAAATATGTAAAAGAGCTTTATTCATAATAACCCAAAGCTGGAAATAACTCAAGTTTCCATCAGCTACTGAACAGATAAACAAACTGTGGCACACTCATGCAATGGAAAGCAATTCAGCTATAAAAAGGAACGGACTACTGAAACATGGAATGAATTAAGTTAGACACGCAACAACATGGACGAATCTCAAAAGCATATGCTAAATGAAGGAAGTCAGGCACAAAAGGCTTCATATTGTGTGACTCCATTTATGAGACATTCTGGCAAAGGCAAAGCTCTAGGGGATAGAAATCAAATGAATGGTTGCCAGGGGATGGAGTTGGGGGCAGGGGATTAACTGCCAAGGGGCATAAGGGAAGTTTTGAGGTTAATAGAAATGTTTTATATCTTGATTGTGGTGATTACACAACTGTATACATCCATCAGAACTCCTTGATCTATATACTAAGATGGCATACAGTAAATTTTACTGTATGCAAATTGTAGTTATTAAACTTAAAAAAAAAAAGGCACTCTAAGAACTAGAGCGATGAAGTGGCATGCATTAGGTAGATAGTGTGGAGTTGAAAAACTGATATACAAGTTGTGGGTTGCATGAATGTTCTGAGGGCCTAATAGCGATCTTGGGATAAGGTAACAATGGAAGCAAAAAACAAGAGAACATCCATGTTTATTCTAATGTGTGACTCTATTACTTACCGTCTCGGGAGACAGAATATTCTGTAGAAGGCACTCATAATAAGTGCTTACAAAATCTAGTGCATACTATGTGCCAAGTACTATCCTAATGACTTCTACTTATATTATTTAATCCTCACAACCCTAAGTAGAGACAGAACTCAAAGCCAGGCAGTCTGACTTCAGAGCTAACCATAACCTGACACGATGTCACTTTCCAAGTAGAATTGATAATCTGTTGCAGCGACAGCCTGGCAAATGGTGGCAGGCAAAGTAGTTGTTGATTCCAGTAACAGCTAAGGAATATGAATGGCTTTCCCCAAACTGACAACTTTCATTTCTGGCTTCAAAATCTAGAGGTTTTATTCAATCATATAGGCCAAAGGGCAATATGGCAGCCAGCCTACAAGATGGACCCCAATGATTCTTACCTCCTGGTATGTACCCACGTGGGTGACACCATCCCACATTGAACAGTGTCAATAATATGACCTCTTTAACCAGTAAGTTATTGCAGAAGTGATGGAAAGTGACATCTGAAGCTAGATCATGAACGACATTGCAGCTTCGGCCTCGCTCTCTTGGATTTAGTTTGGCTTCAAAATCTATTCCCTTTTTTGGCTGATTACATTCAAAAAATTTTTTTAATGTTTTATTTACTTCTGAGAGGGAGACAGCATGAGCACGGGAGGGTCAGAGAGGGGGGAGAGACAGAATCTGAAGATAGGCTCCGGGCTCTGGGCTAGCTATCAGCACAAAGCCCGATGCAGAGCTTGAACCCACGAGCCGTGAGATCATGACCTGAACCGAAGTCGGACACTTAACCGACTGAGCCACCCAGGCGCCCCTGATTATATTTTTTAAGATAGCCACCCCAATAGCTTCCATTCAACATGCTCTTCTACTTTGTCATCTTCTCATTAAGAGAAGGGATTTATGTCCCCTGCCCTCAAGTCTCGAAGGACTTCTGACTGTTTGACCAATAGAGTACTGAAGAAGTAAGGTAATGCGACTTCTGAGGGCAGGTCAGAAAATGTGTGCATCTGCAGCTTTGTTTACCGGATCCCGTCACTTGTGTTTGAAAGTCTGGAGCCACCATGGAAGAAGTCTGATTACCTTGACCCACCATGCTGGGAAAGGCCAAGCTATATATGCAGGGCCCCGTGTAAGTGCTCCAGTCAGCATTACTGGACTCTCAGCCCAGGCACTAAATATACAAGTAAACAGCCTTTAGAGATGATTCCAGCCCCAGAAAGTATCCCTCAGCTTTTGAATCTTCCCAACTGAGGACCCAGACATTGTAGAATAAAGACCACTCATCCGCACAGTGCCCTGTCCAATTTCTTGACCAACAGGGTCTGTGGGCATATTTAAATGATTGCTTTAAGCCACCATATTTTGGGGGTAGTTTGTTATATAGAAACTATAACCAAGATATCTTGCAACTCTTGACAGTTGTAGCCTTTCCGAAAATGGCCCCTCCTTCAAGACCCTTGAGGTGGCTGTTAATTGAAGACAGCTATACTGCAGGTAACATATGATCTTGAATTGCAAAGAATGGAACCCAAGTCCTAAACTTTGAGGGTTATTTTGAGTGGCTGAAGACCTTCCTGAAGAACTAAATGATGTTTCTGTTTATACTATATACTTCCCCTACAGTGGTTTTTAAGGCTAAGAAAATGGATAAATGAATTTATATAATGAAGATGGTCATAAACATAGCCTACCGCCTTCATCTTTTTGGGCTGCTGGAATAGAATATCACAGGCTGCATAGCTTGTAAAATGACAAAATAGTCGCTGAGCCTACAGAATGTCCAAGATGTGACAGTGACCATGGCTAGGAGGCACCTGTTATTAAATTAAAAAATTAACAGCACCAAAGATTCAAACTAATACGATCCTCTCTTTCTTGAGATGGTATCTCAAAATCCTCTCACTCCTACCTTATAAAGACTCATCTTGGGGATGCCTGGGTGGCTCAGTCAGTTAAGCATCTGACTTCAGCTCAGTTCATGATCTCATGATTTGTGTATTCGAGCCCCACATCGGGCTCTGTGCTGACAGCTCAGAGCCTGGAGCCTGCTTCAGATTCTGTGTCTCCCTCTCTCTCTGCCCCTCCTCTGCTCACTCTCTGTCTCTGTCTCTCAGAAATGAATAAACGTTAAAAAATTTTTTTTTAATTCATCCTGTATTGGATTTTGACTAATAACGGTGAATATAAAATCAAGGAACAGTGATAGTGTCCGATATTTCACCAAACACAAGCCCCATGAGGACGGTAATTGTCCGTTTTCTTTGCTTCTGTATTCTCATTGCCTCGCATAGTGTTTGTAACAAATCTGTATTCTCATTGCCTCGCATAGTGTTTGTAACAAAGCAAGCACTTAAACCAGAAACTAAAATCACAGAAGGAAAAAGAGAATGGGTTTATTCTCTGATGGATATGAAGGTCCCTATTACCACAGTTAGGCTTTTAATTGTTTAAGTCAACAAGCAAGACAGACTGTTTTCAGGGCTGAAGGGCATAATGGGATATGCCTATTGGTAAACTGGCAATCAATCAATCAATCAATCACCCAACAATAGCACTTGAGTCAATTTGAATTTTTATTAACACACATTTTTCAAAGTTTGTACAAACCAAAACATTCCTGTGTTTCAAAGTGTCCATTATACAAACATACAAATAAACAAAAGGTGTTACCAAAAGTTACCTACTCAATTTCATGGTAAAACAGTGTCATGATTTTTAAAAACCAAAACTTCAAGACTGAGGTTTCTTCCTTCACTGTTTGGAACTTGTGGAAAGTTAGAAAATGTGTGAATCTGCTTCGTATTAAATGCCAACACTTTAAAAAAAGATTTAGTATAAAACTAAGTATGTGGTTTTATATTGTTGTTTCATGAAACAGAATTTCTCAAGTCTTCCAAATTAAAAAAAAAGCAAAACCCAAAACCATGACTTATAACTTTTTTCACAATCTTTTGAAATGTAAATGCATCTGAAAAATATTATCTGACAGTTTATCTTTACCTAAAAGTTTCTCATTCAAAAAGTTACAAAACTATGTAGCACTGCCGTTTCCCTTGCTTGGAAGGGAATATGACCTCCCCTGCTAGAGTGAGAGACGAGCAACCTGGTCCATTGTTTCTTTTATCAGAAAGAAACCACCCATTTCCACATTTCTGCCCAATTCCGTGCATGGGTCTGCTTGTGAGAATGTTATCATGGATTATAAACACTGGCTTCTAGGAAATGCCTAGCAAGTTAAACTGACTTGCTTACAATTTTGGTGCACTGAGGTACAAAGTTCATCTGTCCTCGGGGTCACCTCAAACCGCAGGACCCCTCTGCACAAATGGTTCCAACATAGTTGATTCTACTGTGTTACACGGCACATCACACACCTCTCATTTCTTTCACGAACATCCCACGGAGGACCTGAGAGAACGGCGAGCAGTGCAAATCTACCTCCTCTCCCGGAAAAGTAAACCCATGTGCCTACTCGGTCAAGAAGGGAAAGGAGGACACAAACGATTCTGGCAGGGGCCATGCTGCTTCTGACCAGCACCTGTATTCTAGAAACTCCCTTTTCCCACCAAAAGCAGGGAGTGTGCAGGCTGGGGTGGATGAGGAGGAACGGGGAGAAGGTACAGTGACAGCATGTCTCCCAATCAGACTTAGAGTCCATACTTGAGCAGCTCGTACTAACTCCCAAAATGCTCTGTAGTTCAAATATTATCCATTTTGAATCTGCTCATTAAAAAAGAAGCTCTCTGACAATGGCTCAATGGAACGACTGATACAAAGGTATTTTTTTTTCTTTAAAAAGAAGTGGCAGTGTGAGAATTTAAAATCAGTCACATAAAACAATCAAGAAAGGGGTGGGGGAGGGAAATGTCCAGTAAAACCTGGACAACCTTTCTTTCTGCCCTTATTTAAAAAGACAGACTGTTCAAATCGTTGCTACCTCCCCTAAGTATCTCCTTAAACGCTCTTCCAGGAAGTCCTCCAAAAGGCACTTAACTCCACACTGATGCACTGAATTGTCGCACCATAGCAATCAGTTTTTAAGACTCCAAGGTAACCAGAAAAGGTCTTATTCCTTTACTAAAAGGTAGAGAGTAGGGTTTTTTTTTCTTTAAAGAGGCATCACTTTTACAAGAACAAGAAGCTAGGCTACCATTATTCCTTTATCAAGAAAAAGTTTCTTTTTTTAAAAAATAAATAAAACTCTGGCTATACATAGTACAAAGTTCATACATAATATACCTGGAAAAAAACCCAAGAGTATACCCTGAAGCAAAAGGTTTACTGGAGAGAGAAAGCCTCTTCCATTGTACCAAGTCTTAAGGTGGCAGTTTTCAAAGTTCAGAGGGTGGCAGTGATATGTATGTAATTAATGCCAAACTGTTTGCTCATGGGTACGGCAGGATGCGATGAACCAGAAACAAATAAACAAACAAACACCATTCTGCACTTAACACTAAACAGTGACTCACTCATACACACGCACACACGCACGCACACAGAGAGTAGTACCAAAAGAAAGAGAGGCAGGGAGGAGTAGTCAGGGCGGGGTTGGGGGGAGTGAGAGTATAAGACAAGAGCTTGGAACCCCAAACACCCAAGCATGCAGTCATGACACGGCATAAACCAGGTGTTTCCACTCAGCCCGCTGCAATTCCACAAAGAAGGAACTGTAATAAAATAGAGATTTCTTAAGAAAGCTTGCAATTCACAGAGAACAGCCAGGTCACCAACCCTAACCCAGGAACCCCTCTGCTGTTGGCTGGAGCCTCCTGATGGTCTTTCACGGAGAGGTTATAGCTCCTGACTTCTCAGACTTCTTGCTCTTGGACAAGGCAGCTGCCTGCTTCAGGAGCTCTCGGTTTTTGGCCTGAACAAAAAAATCAGTGTAAGAAGGATATTTTAACAGGACAGAACACGCTTTTTAATGCAGATGTTAAGGCAGATGATGTAAAAGGTCGGGAAGAGAACAAATTCTAAAGGCAGAAAACAACAGAAAGCCCCAGGGCTTGGTTCATGGGAAGAAAGTATTTGCTGGAGGTTAATCAGCTCACTGCAATCTCCTGGGATCCACTGTTACAAAAGGGTGCTTTATGCAACACAAACAAACGGTGGAGTGCCTTCATGTGCTGGATAAACAGAATTTATAATCCAGACATCTGGAATCACATCTGGCTTATCCAAAAATCAAAACACACATTTATGAATTCCAGTTTCTGAGGGAAAAAGATCAGAGCACACCCAACAATGAAAGAGTAAAAGACAGCTATAAGGTAGATTAAATACGATTTTGTCAATACTTTGAGAACAAAAAAAATCTAAGAGATAAATCACTTAAAATATAATCAGCTAAATACACCAGGGCTATCACATAAAAGACAAGCAAACGGGGCACCTGGGTGGCTCAGTTGGTTAAACATCCAACTTTGATTCAAGTCATGATTTCGTGGTTCGTGAGTTCAAGCCCCGTGTCGGGCTCTGTGCTGACAGCTCGGAGCCTGGAGCCTGCTTCAGATGCTGTGTATCCCTCTCTCTCTGCCCCTCCCCTGCTCATGCTCTTGCTCTCTCAAAAATAAACAAACATTAAAACAAACAAATAAGCAGACTCACCTGTAATTGCTCTGTGACCTCTTTGTGGGTCTTCTCCATCTGGTTCATTTTGGCTCTCATCTGAGATTCTTGGTACTGAAAATCAGCCTTCAACTCTGTGATCTGAGGGGGGAGAAAAGGCAGACTGACTGAAGAAATCTCTGTGCAGTGCAATGATTAATGTTCTGGCAGCAAAGGGCTAAATGGCTTCTCGAATTAATGAAATCCAGGGCTCTTCGGAAGAGCCATAACAAAACCAAAGCCAGGGAATTCTGTATCCTATTTATCCTAAAGATTTCTTGAAAATCACACAAAATCCTGACATAGCCATTTCTGATACCACGTCATTGACAGGTTTTAAAGATTTTATGCATTTATTAATACATGCCAATAATCCTCCAAATAAATCAGTGATTATAATACAATATGAGTGACTGAGAGAAGCCAGGAGAATAACAGCTATTGCCATTTACTAATTTTTTAACCCTGTTCCAGGTAAACTGTTTGGTATTTTATTTGTACACACACACACACAATTTTTTTTCTTTTCTTTTCTTTTTTTTTTTCTAGTAATCTCTACACCCAAGATGGGGCTTTAACTCACAACCCCGAGATCAAGAGTTGCATGCTCTTCCGAGTCAGCCAGGCGCCCCCTAACTGTTTGATTATACTATTTCATTCAACCTATGATAAGCCTGTGGGGGGCAATATTATTTTTCCCATTTTATAGATGGAAAAACCATGGCTTAGAAAGGGTTAAATAACATGGCCATGATCATACATGTTAGCAAGAGCCAGAGCTAGAATTCAAACCTCAGGCCTTCTTCTATTGACTGTGCTATTCAAGGAATAGGGAGGAGATATCTAAGTCAGGGATATGATGTGTGAGCTGAGCGTCGAGGGACATGAACTACAGTTGGGACACAAGGTACAGACAAGGACATCCAGGCACAGGAAACTGTACGGGCACAGCCAGAGAGTGCAAGGTAACTGACAGCCTGCTAGAATGACTGAAGAGCAGGGAGAGTGGTAGGAGATGATGCTACAGATAGGCAGGTATGTTGTAGAAGGGCCTGTGTTCCAAGCCAAGGAGTGTGACCTTGATCTTGAAAGTGATGAGAAACAATCTACTATTTGTCTTTGATCCTTTTAAAACCCTAACTTTGCAAAGCAGTGGAAACAAGTATTCACTTTGTCTCTCTTTTGTAAAAACGCTTTTATTATGTGCCATCCTGATGTAGTCTATAAAGAAAATATACTTGAGTCTGTTTTCATAAGACAGTCCTGTTGGAAAGTGCAGAGTATACTGGTCTCGAACTTCCCATAAATCTCCACCTTACTGGCAGAAGAAAGCATAGCCTAGTAGAAAGAATGGTAGAGTCAGAAAGACTTGTCATTTACTTTACTAACTGTGTGATTTGGTATGTCATTTAACATCTTTAGGTCTGTTTCTTCACCTACAAAATGGAAGTTGAAATTAGATGGAAAGAATGCATGTAAATATTTTAACAATATATATGCCTTTGTCAGCCATTCAGAATGAGTCCTAGCACTCCAAACTTGACATAAGAAAACATACAGCCTCAAGGAAAAAAACAAAACTAAGAGAAGGATTGGAACCCTAAGAGGAAAAAAATTGGGAGGATACTCTTCATCTACAAAATGATGACAAAAGTAATTTCTATCTTAAAGGGCTGTTATGAGGATAAATGGATTAATACACAGAGAGCACTCAGAATAGAATCCAGCACAGACTTAAGTATCCAACAGAAGTTAGTTATTATTGTTATTAATAGATTAAGACAAAAAAAAGATACTCTTTAGGAACCTAAAAATAAGAGGGGCACCTGGCTGGCTCGGCTGGGTGTCCAACTCTTGCTTTTGGCTCAGGCAATGACCCCAGGGTTATGGGATCAAGCCCAATCTTGGGCTCCACACTGAGCATGGAACCTGCTTGGGATTCATTCTGTCTCTCTTTTCCCTCCTCCCTCCCTCTGCTCCTCTCCCCTGCTCTCTATGTCTGTCTTCTCTCTCTAAAAACAAAAAGAAAAAAAGAAAAAGAACCTAAAAATAAGAGAAATAGACCTGAATCAGAGGAAGAATGTAAAAAGTTCCCTAAAGGAGGGAGGATGGCTGTTAGACCAGAGTAAGACTTAATTGAGGATGTTAATGTGTTTAAAGAATGGGTCACTCAGGGACTTGTCAGTAACGGAAGCAAAGTGATGTAAGAGTCACAGAGGAAGGCCTACCTGACCACTGTCCAGGAAGCAGGGTGACCTGGCCCACATATTTTGAGTATTACTGTCCCACGGACATGGCCATCCCAATAATAGAGATGGAGGGATCAGGTTCTCTTAGCCTGAGAGCATTAAATATTCCAATTATATAACCATGTCCTCTGGTCCCAACTCCGTGCTCATTCGGCACCTTCTGATCACAACTTTCCAAGGTAGCTCGTGCTGAGAAGCGCAGCAGTCAGTTACGCCCTACTGTGACTTAAGGGGAGCACTGCAGTTTTATACATCACCTCTGTAAGCCTGGTAAACGCAAGTCCTCCCTGAGAAGTGAAGCTCCCTCCAAATGCTGAGAAAAAGCAACTTTCTAAACGCACCTGAGCGAGGTAGAGTGAGGATTCTCTCTCGAGGTAATACCAGATCATGAGTCATCTTAGCAGACAGGAAGGCTGTCCCACGATACCCCAACCTTGACACTGGATCTCTCAAAGCATCCATGGTCAGTACCACATAAATATCTGTTAAATAGAGTCAGCACCATGCCCTGTGGTACCACATGCTTACCCCTGCAACATTCTGGTCTGACAGGCATTAACAGAACTGTACCTTCTTCTCTTTCTCTAAGATCATTTGATCCTTCTGATGCAGCATCTTCTTCAGAGTGGCCACTTCTTCCTTCAGTTGGGCAATGATGACAAAGTGGTCAGTGCCTGGTGAGTCCAGGGCCAGGTCTGGGGAAAAGCTGAGTAGAACAATAGAGGGGGAAAAAATCACAACTTGGAGGGATAAACCTTTTTCTACTTGAGGACACACCAGAGGCCACCTGAGTATAAGCCCCAGAGTAAGGGCAACTACTTGAGTTCCCAGCAGTGAGTACAGTGCCCCACACATGCTGGACTCAGTAACATTTGCTAAACTGCACAGGTAAGGAGATCATCAGATCGTGGTTCTTTATTTCCTGCTCCAAAGCACTGTGTATGGTGCAGCTGTTAAGAAGCTGCTGCATCCCATCCCAGGCGCAGTCAGTCCCTTTTAAAACTTAGAAAAAGATCAAAGGAGTAGGAAGGAAACTGACTTCCCCTACACTGCCACTGGCCTGTTGACTACCACTTCGAATATCAAGAATTCAGTGATAATCAGGAAAGAAACAGGCAGCAACCCCCAGGGTCACACCATAACCTGGGGTTTCAACGAATTCTTCTCAGTAACAGTAGCTGAGCACTTCCTTTTGCTACAGTGCCAGGTGAGCTCTGTCTTTGTTGGAGAGTCTTGTAACCGGGCCCAGTCCCAGGGAACCTGTGAGCCATGGAAGTTGCGTGTATAATTCGTGTCTGCGTAACAATGGGTGGTTTCTAGTGTGAGGATCCATAGTTTTCCCCGGTTGGTCAGAGATGTCTTAGACCCAAATCAAGTTAAGAAATCCCTGCCATGAGAGTCAAGTCCTGCCCTTCTCTAGAGACTTTCCAAAGAAACCTCCTTACCCTTCCCAGGACAACCTTTAAAGTAAAGCACAGCATAACACCCTCAAGGTCCATCCATGTTGCTACACATGGCCAGATTTCATTGTTTCTCATTGCCATGTAGTATTCCATGGTATAGATAAACGAAATAAGTCAGGCAGAGAAGGACAAATATCATATGTTTGCACGGATAGGAGGATTAGGAGGAACTTGACGGAGGAACAAGCGGGAGAAGAAGGGCGGAAATGGTGGGGGAAAGGGAGAGAGGCAAACCATGAGAGACTCTTGAATGCTGACAAAAACTGAGGACTGATGGATGTGGGGGGGAGGGGGGGATGGGCATGGAGGAGGGCACTTTGGGGATGAGCACTGAGTGTTATGTAGAAACTAATTTGACAATAAGCTATTTGTAAAAAAAAAAAAATAAATAAAGTAAAGCACAAACCTGTTTTTCCTAAGCAGTCACTGGCATATTGGTTCGCGACTCCCTAGATCAATATGGCAACAGCTTTAGTTCATCTTGAACTATAGCTAATAACCAGACCAGCATTTCTCTACATGGATAGACACTCCAAATAGCAAGTGGAATCACTGGACAGCCTCATAGCTACCAAGTCACAACATTTCTATGGCTAGAAGACACGGTCCATTGATAAGAATATTCTCTCTTGGTCGACATGAGGCATATAAGAAGAATGTCAGAAGAATGGACCAATGCTTTCATAACTGACGAATATGCAGAATTACTGGGTGACAAAAAGTAAAAGCAATATATTAAAACAAGGTATGCAGGAGAAAATGCTGAAAGGACCCCATCAAAGCCTATACCAGTTTTAACCTCTGAGGGACTGTCATCCCTCAATCCAAAAGAATTTCTTTAAACCCATAACTAGAGTAACAAATGAAACAGTGTAATAGGCTAGTATAAACCCTGAGCTCCCCAGAGCTTCTAATGCTATGCTCCACCTGTTTCTCAAGAGAGGATTGTTCCATACCAGTACATTGACAACAAAACCAGTCATTTCTGTCCTGTTAGGGCCTGACTTTTCTAACTCTCTAAATTCTGACTAATAAGAATCACTGGAAATCAAATGAAAACAGATGGTTAGGTTAGCAAGGCAGAAAATCAGATCCAGTCTCTTTCCACATATCTCCAATGAAAGGGTAAAGCCACAAAAGTAAGTTTAATCTTTCAGGAATATTTCAAATGTAGAATAAAATAAAACTATGAGGAGGGGCACCTGGCTGGCTGGCTGAATTGGTGGAGCATGTGACCCTTGTTCTCGGGGTTGTAAATTTGTGCCCACATTGGGTGTAGAGATTACTTAAAAAATAAAATCTTAAAAAAACCCTATGAATAAAGGAAAGAAATGTCCTTTAGAAACAACCAACAAGGTATACCTGGGGATACCCACTGTTGAGAGTGTTTTTTAATTGCCAGTGGAATCAACAAAAAGTAGCTGGTGCATTTTCTCAGGGAAGAAAAGCTAGAAATGAACTCAGATCTTTCTCAATTTGAAAAGTTCTTGCTATGAACCACCTGGGTAACTCAGTCAGTTAAGTATCTGACTCTTGATCCTGTCTCAGGTCAAGGTCTTCGAGTTAGAGGGGAACCTGGGTGGCTCAGTCAGTTAAGCATCTGACTGTGACTCAGGTCATGATCTCACGGTTTGTGGGTTCAAGTCCCATGTCAGGCTCTGTGCCTACAGCTCAGATCCTGGAGCCTGTTTCAGATTCTGTGTGTATGTGTCTCTCTCTCTGCCCCTCCCCTGCTTCTTCCCTGCCTCTGTCCTTCAAAAATAAACATTAAAGGGGCGCCTGGGTGGCTCAGTCAGTTAAGCATCCAACTTCGGCTCAGGTCATGATCTCACAGTTCATGGGTTCGAGCACCGCGTCAGGCTCTGTGCTGACAGCTCAGAGCCTGGAGCCTGCTTCTAATTCTGTGTCTCCCTCTCTCTGACCCTCCCCTGCTCACGCTGCCTCTCTCTCTCTGAGGTAAATCAAACATTAAAAAATAAATAAATAAACATTAAATTTTTTTTTTTTTTAAATCTTACAATTTGTGAGATAGAGCCCTATGTCAGGGTCTGCACTGACAGTGTGGAGCCTGCTTGGGATTCTCTCTCTGTCTCTCTCTCTCTCTGCCTCCCCGCATATGCGCACTCTCTCTCTCAAAACAAATACATAAACTTAAAAAAAGTTTTTGCTACAATTTCAGCAAACTAGAAAATATGAGAATGAGGCTGTGAATTTTGTGGGATCCTAAAAAAAAAAAAAAGACCTAGGCATTTAAAGTTTTTTTTTTTCAGTTTATATATTTATTTTGAGAGAGAAAGCATGCGCCCACACAAGTGGGGGAGGGACAGAGAGGCAGGTAAAGAGAGCAAATCCCAAGCAGACTCCACACTGTCAGCACAGAGCACAATGTGGGTCTCAAATCCATGAGCTGTGAGATCATGACCTGAGCCAAAGTCAGCCGCTTAACCGACTGACCCACTCAGGTGCCCCCAGAGGCATTTTAGAAGTATAAAACTATTTGAGAAAAGGTTTCATAAAAAACCTAAAGAGATGCATTCTCTCCGTACAATATGGAAGGCTAACGGAGAAAGATAAAGAGGAGTAAAAAATCAAATATGCCTCAACGTTTAAAAACTAAGAGTGGAGAATGCGGTAGAAATGAAAGGAAAATGGAAGGCTGTTAGAGAGCAGCATGCAGAAGAGGAAACGATGAAAACACAGGAGCTTATAGAGATATTTTCAAAGTGGGGCCAGGAAAGGGGGCTGCGATCAACTGAAAGCTGAGAGGCAGCTACAATAGATAGTTCAGAAACAAGACTGGTAACCTTTAGTACAGAACTGAATTCAAGATAGATATTCAGTGGGAAAAAAAAAAAGAAATGGACAAAAGGGCCATCAAAAAAAGTTGGTCAGAATGTTTTCAAAGTGAGGGAAAAGGAAGAAAAAACTCCACAAAAGTAAAAAGAAAATGGAAAATGTAATTTAACTTCTGCTATGAACTTTTAAAAGAAATACAAACAAGCGGAATCGATAGTTAAGACTGCTAATGCAGGAACATTCAAATGGAACTGGTATGTGTATGAAAATAATTTTTGTAGAAGCAGAAAAGTTTTCCAAATTTTCAAGTTATTAGGGTAAGTTATTTTAACAACTGGTATCTACATTTCAAGAAAAAAAAAAAGATCTTTTAGATGTTTTCCAGATGAGACTGTTAAAGACCATGTTAAGGATCAGCATTTCCTACTTGAGGAAAACAATCATTGCTGGTGACTGGATGCAAAAAACTACTCCCAACAGGGGCACCTGGGTGGTTCAGCTGGGTAAGCATCTGGCTCTGGATTCCCAGGTCATGATTCCCAGTCGTGGGACTGAGCCCCGTGTCAGGCTCTGTGCTGACAGGGAGGAGCCTGCTTAGGATTCTCTCTCTCACTCTCTCTCTGCTCCTCCCCAACTCATGCTCTCTCTCCCAAAATAAACAAATAAATATTTTTTTAAAAATCACTCTGAACAGAAAACTTTAAAGTTTTTAGTTTTGTATGTCCAGAGCAATGGACAGCAAGAATAATGGCAGTATCTTAAGAACAAATAATCTGAAAGAAGGTAAGTTTTAAGGACTGGCTGGTTAAACTAAGTTTATGAATGAGCTTTTCCCAGGTCATTCAAATACAGGCTGGGTCATAAGCGAGCACAAAACAGAAACGAATCTGAAGACTGTGAGTCTTGGCTTGGACCTTTATAAAGGCAGGGAACTCAGAAAGGTTCACTCCTTGCCATGGTTTTTATAGGATCAGGCACGCTGGTAGGGGTGGTGGAGCAATCTTCACAATGGTCAGAGTATCTGCTCAAAGACCAGTGAACCCAATGATCTCTACGGTTCCTTCATCCATAATTTGAACATCTAAGTTAAACATTTCCAGAAGGCTCAATTTAAGAAGCATAAAATCAATGATACTAGTTGATAGAAGGTACCTTGTAGAATCTGAAATCAAGCTAATAAAAAAAGTAACAGGAAAGAAGAAACTCCATTGATGCTCTGTGCTCCCCTAAATGAAATTCGGCCCTAGTAAGCCTATATGCTAGCCTACTCCCATACCCACCACTGCCTGGGAGGGAGAATTGACACTGGGAGTTTTCAGAATGGAAAGGGTTCCAAGGATTTGGAGGAAGAGTATGTCAGTGTCTCACTTCAGGATGCCCGGGTCTGGAGAAACAGGAAAATGGTCGGCCCCAAGGCTCAGCCGGAAGCAGCCACTGCACCAACACAGACGGGGCACTCTGGATATTAAGACAAAGCACTGGCAAGAGGAAGCATCATTCAGATGGAAAGAGGAAAGCCAGGAATAAATACATGTGTTTAGACAGGCTTAAAATGAAGTAAAAATATTTAAGTGCATCCCATTCTCTGCTGATTCAGTATCTGCGGTAGGCTTTCTGCACACTACTTAGGAAGCATGAATTGGACTGAGAAGACTGTCTTAACTCCCAACTTGTCTCTACTCCACATCTCAGTACCAACTCTTGCCCCGCATGGAGGCCACAGGCACAGGACACAGTGAAAAGCACATAGCTCCTGACTTCCTAGAATTAGTGTGGGAGAGTTATATGTGGACTGCAGAATTCAGTTGCTATTAAGTCTGGTTACCTGTGATTGTCTTTTAACGAAAAGATTAGAGTTATAAACAAATAGCAGCACTGCTTATTCATAAGACATTAAGTGGCTAATGGAGTGACCCTCAGAGGCTCAGTAACAACCCTAGACTAGGTCCAAGGCACACCCTGGAATGTATTCCAGTCTCAGGAACCGTATATGCAGTCACTCAAATGGAAGCATGCCCACATACCAATTGGCTTACCTGTCTCCATTGGTCGTGATTGACTCAAACTTGGATTTTTTCTTTGGGATTTCATTTTGAATTGAAGATGTAGAAAGTGTTTTCTGGCTTTTAATGGCAAAAACAGAGAAACACACATTAGAAATCATAGATTTATAAAACATCACAACAAAAGTTTGCCAAACAGGACCAATGTAATATCACAACTCTTCCACGCGAGAGCTAATGATTCTTTATTATTAAATCCCAACAAGGTGTTGATTTCATAGATCCTGGATGCATGGGTAGCTCCCTTCCATAGGCTCCCAAAATTCTTAGCTTTAATTAAATATTACCTGCTTTATTGACAACTATGGGAACAGAGTCAATAAAATTTTAATAAGAAGTGGGGTGCCTGGGTGGCTCAGTCGTTTAAGTGTCAGACTTTAGCTCAGGTCATGATCTCATGGTTTGTGAGTTTGAGCCCCATGTTTCAACGTGTCTCCCTCTCTCTCTCTGCTCCTCCCCTGCTCATGCTCTGTCTCTCAAAAATAAACAAACATAAAAAACTTTTTTAAAATTTTTTAAAAAGAAGTAAAATCTACCTTACAATTTAAAAAGTACATTTAATGTTTCATTCGCATCTTCCAAGTCTGTGAGGTATATATGAGGCACTATTTCTACTCTGCAGAAACTCAGGCTCAAGTTTAACTGACCTACCCAAGGATATATAGCCAGTCAATAGTGAAGCTAGGACTAGATACCAGGTTGAACTCCGGGTCCAGTTCTTCTTCAGTACAGTTCTGTGAATCTACTGATATGTGAATCCCACAAATCACTAAAAATCAGCTACAGACTCAATGAGTTCACCCTCAAGTAAGACCCTTTCTTACCTGATCTCTTTAATATTTGATACCACTGCCATCCTTCCCCCCTTCCAACTTTATTGAGAAATAATTGACAAACCATATACACATAAGGTGTACAATGTATCAGTTTGATATAGATATGTTATGAAATGATCACCAAGATTAAGGTAATTAACACATCCATCACCTCACATAGCTAACTTTTTTTTTATGGCAAGGATGTTTAAAATCTACTCTCAGCAATTTTCAAGTATATAATATCATATTAAGAAGAGCCACTCTGCTGTATATCAGATCCTCAGAACTTACTCTTCTTATAACTGAAAGTTTATACCCTTTGACCTAAATCTCCTCATTTCCTCCTTCCCCAGCCCCTGACAACCACCATTCTAGTCTTTCTATGAAATTGGCTTTTTAAAAAGATTCCTCACCTGACGTGGGACTCAAACTTACAGACTGTGAGATCATGACCTGAGCTGAAGTCAGACACTTAACCAATTGAGCCACCAAGGCCCCCACTGAATCTGCCTCTTTGATCTCTGGTGCTATGGCCTCAGTTGAGATTCTGATATTAATATCTCTTATTGTGGTCTCTTATAAAACAGTTCTTAACTAGCCTCCAGTCTCTTTTTCTTCCAATGTTTTCTCCACAATAATCAGGGTAAATTTTTTTTTACTGGCTCCAGGGTCAGGTTCACACTCCTTAACATTTTCAGAATCCATTCCTCTCCCATTCCCTGACTCCCAAACATAAGCGTCAGCCACATAAAAGGACCTGCCAACTCCTCAGGGCCGTGTGGTCTCATGCCCTCTCTATTTCTCTGCACATGCTACCCCCTCAGCCTAGGAAGCTTCTGCCCATCCCCGATCTGATGATTCCAACTCATCCGAAAATCCAGCCCCAACCCCAGCTCTTCTCTGAGCCTCTCTTGCCTGGCCCCCCAAGGCAGTTAATTACTACTCCCTCTCATGTCTGCATCTTGATGTTTCTACTGTGGTGCTCATCGAATTATAATGCAATCATTTGATTACAGGTCTGTCTCCCTATCAGCCTATATACTCTTGGTGAGCAGCATGATTCTTTTATTCATCTCTGCCTTCCTAGCAGAGTCACTGGCCCATGAGAGTACTTAATAATGTTTGCTTAATGAACAAACAACATCATAATGGTAACAATAGCAAACAGTAACTAAAATATATTGAATGCTTCCTATATGCCAATTATAAAACAAATCACTATTCATGCACTATATAATTTATCTCCACAACTATTCCATGAGGTAATGTTATTATTTCCCTATTTTAAAGATGAACAAGCTTGCCCAAGATCCCACACAGAGAACCTGGCAGAGTCAGGATTCAATCCAAAGCCAGAACTCTTAACACCACTACAGATACTCTGAAAGGAAGCTTCAGACAACAGTGAAAGGCCATCTTTTTTGACTGGATCCCACCAGGACAAACCTAGAACACCTCTCAACCTCCTGGCCAACTATGCATTAAAAAAAAGCTGCAACCTTGAGAAAGTGACATGCCCAGTCTTCTAAGGAAAAAACTCACCCCAAGGGTGAGGAGAGTATTACAGTGAAAGCAGAACAAGTTCCACAAACTTTCCAGACACAAGACGAACCAACTCAGGAAATCCTAATACCTTACAGAAATCTCTCTGGCACTTGGAAGATACACGAACTGTGAAATGGGACAAAGGAGATTCCTTCTAAGGCTAGTAACGAGAGAGAAAAGAATAGGAAAATTTATATCAAATGGTGTCTTCCATGGCTAACTTATGTAATCCTTCTGACCAATCAGTACCTCCAGTCCTAGCTCATGCATCTTGGGGTTACCTGTTATAATGGCCGCCACCACCCAGTCGACTATACTGTTCCTTCTCTTGGTGGCTGGCACGGGAAGAGCTGCTCAGGTGTCTCCTCTGCTCTTTGGTCTTCTGAAGGACCCGTTTGTAGGACAACGTGCACAGCCAGCACAGCAGTTTCCCATCTACCTGAAAGACAAGGAGACAAAGATGAAGAAGAGAGAATGTAGTACACAGGTACTACAGACTACAGGTACCGGGAGCTCGGACCCCTGGGTTAAGTCCCAATTCGGCCATTTATGAGGTATGGGAACTTAGGCCGGTCCTCAACCTCAATTAAACCTCTCTATGTCTTTGTGAAGCAGCTACTGCCCCTCCCCCTGGAAAGGTGATGAAATTGATGCGTAAGAAGAGTAAGTAACTTGTCCAGGATTGTCCAGCTGGCCCAGGTCAGGGGGACTGCAAAGCTTATACTCCAGCTACCTCGTGACTCCTAATTCAGCTTCTCCAGTATCTTGATTCAGGGAAAAGGTGCTCAGGTTGGCAGGCAGGAGTATTCTGGTCACTGGAGAGTTATATCCACCCACTATAAACTAATGAATTTGTTCATAAGAGTCAGCTCTCATGAGCCTAAGCATCTCTGAAAAGTACTTCTGGACACCTCTGCAAAAGTTACTGTACTGCATTCCTTCATTAAAAAAATATTTACTGAAGAGAAGAGATTGATAGTTGCCAGAGGTGGGGCCTGGGGGGTAGGTGAAATGGGTGAAAGTAGTCAAAAGATATAAACTTCTAGTTAAAGAATAAAGTCATGGGGATGTAATGTACAGTATGGTGACTATAGTTAGTACCACTGTATTGCATATTTGAAAGTTGCTAAGAGAGTAGATCTTAAAAGTTCTCATCACAAGAAAAAAAAATCCTTAACTGTATGTGGTGATGGATATTTACTGGACTTAGTGTGGTGATCACTTTCCAGTATACACATATATCAAATCATTATGCTGCGCATATAAAATTGATATGTGTTGATTCTATCTCAATTTAAAATATATATAATCACTTCAGTTTTTAAAATTAATTCATTGGGGCGCCTGGGTGGCTTAGTCGGTTAGGCATCCGACTTTCGCTTAGGTCATGATCTTGTGGTTCGTGGGTTCGAGCCCCGCGTCGGACTCTGTGCTGACAGCTAGCTCAGAGCCTGGAGCCTGTTTCAGTCTGTGACTCCCTCTCTCTCTGACCCTCCCCTGCTCACGCTGTCTCTCTCTCCTAGAAATAAATAAAACATTAAAAAAAAATTTTTTTTAAATAAAATTAATTCATTAATTCTTTATTTATTTGANTTATTATTTCCCTATTTTAAAGATGAACAAGCTTGCCCAAGATCCCACACAGAGAACCTGGCAGAGTCAGGATTCAATCCAAAGCCAGAACTCTTAACACCACTACAGATACTCTGAAAGGAAGCTTCAGACAACAGTGAAAGGCCATCTTTTTTGACTGGATCCCACCAGGACAAACCTAGAACACCTCTCAACCTCCTGGCCAACTATGCATTAAAAAAAAGCTGCAACCTTGAGAAAGTGACATGCCCAGTCTTCTAAGGAAAAAACTCACCCCAAGGGTGAGGAGAGTATTACAGTGAAAGCAGAACAAGTTCCACAAACTTTCCAGACACAAGACGAACCAACTCAGGAAATCCTAATACCTTACAGAAATCTCTCTGGCACTTGGAAGATACACGAACTGTGAAATGGGACAAAGGAGATTCCTTCTAAGGCTAGTAACGAGAGAGAAAAGAATAGGAAAATTTATATCAAATGGTGTCTTCCATGGCTAACTTATGTAATCCTTCTGACCAATCAGTACCTCCAGTCCTAGCTCATGCATCTTGGGGTTACCTGTTATAATGGCCGCCACCACCCAGTCGACTATACTGTTCCTTCTCTTGGTGGCTGGCACGGGAAGAGCTGCTCAGGTGTCTCCTCTGCTCTTTGGTCTTCTGAAGGACCCGTTTGTAGGACAACGTGCACAGCCAGCACAGCAGTTTCCCATCTACCTGAAAGACAAGGAGACAAAGATGAAGAAGAGAGAATGTAGTACACAGGTACTACAGACTACAGGTACCGGGAGCTCGGACCCCTGGGTTAAGTCCCAATTCGGCCATTTATGAGGTATGGGAACTTAGGCCGGTCCTCAACCTCAATTAAACCTCTCTATGTCTTTGTGAAGCAGCTACTGCCCCTCCCCCTGGAAAGGTGATGAAATTGATGCGTAAGAAGAGTAAGTAACTTGTCCAGGATTGTCCAGCTGGCCCAGGTCAGGGGGACTGCAAAGCTTATACTCCAGCTACCTCGTGACTCCTAATTCAGCTTCTCCAGTATCTTGATTCAGGGAAAAGGTGCTCAGGTTGGCAGGCAGGAGTATTCTGGTCACTGGAGAGTTATATCCACCCACTATAAACTAATGAATTTGTTCATAAGAGTCAGCTCTCATGAGCCTAAGCATCTCTGAAAAGTACTTCTGGACACCTCTGCAAAAGTTACTGTACTGCATTCCTTCATTAAAAAAATATTTACTGAAGAGAAGAGATTGATAGTTGCCAGAGGTGGGGCCTGGGGGGTAGGTGAAATGGGTGAAAGTAGTCAAAAGATATAAACTTCTAGTTAAAGAATAAAGTCATGGGGATGTAATGTACAGTATGGTGACTATAGTTAGTACCACTGTATTGCATATTTGAAAGTTGCTAAGAGAGTAGATCTTAAAAGTTCTCATCACAAGAAAAAAAAATCCTTAACTGTATGTGGTGATGGATATTTACTGGACTTAGTGTGGTGATCACTTTCCAGTATACACATATATCAAATCATTATGCTGCGCATATAAAATTGATATGTGTTGATTCTATCTCAATTTAAAATATATATAATCACTTCAGTTTTTAAAATTAATTCATTGGGGCGCCTGGGTGGCTTAGTCGGTTAGGCATCCGACTTTCGCTTAGGTCATGATCTTGTGGTTCGTGGGTTCGAGCCCCGCGTCGGACTCTGTGCTGACAGCTAGCTCAGAGCCTGGAGCCTGTTTCAGTCTGTGACTCCCTCTCTCTCTGACCCTCCCCTGCTCACGCTGTCTCTCTCTCCTAGAAATAAATAAAACATTAAAAAAAAATTTTTTTTAAATAAAATTAATTCATTAATTCTTTATTTATTTGAGAGAGAGAGAGAGAGAGAGAGAGAGAGAGAGAGAGAATTCCACACAGGCTCCACACTGTCAGTCCAGAGCCCAAAGCAGGGCTCAAGCTCACCTGGCCATGGAGCTTGAACTCATGAACTATGAGATCATGAGATCATGACCTGAGCCAAAGTCAGATGCTTAACCAACTGAGTAACCCAGGTGCCCCACTTCACTCACTTTTTAAAAAGTAGAAAATGAGAAGCATAATTTTTCTCAATAAAAAACAGTAAGCTGGAGAGATATTTCAGATTAATATTTTGGCCGTGTCAGGTAAGACAACTAAAAGGGAGAGGAAATAGTTCTCAATAAAGCATGACTCTTATCAAAACAAGTAAACATATACATACGTGTGTGTGTGTGTGTGTGTGTGTGTATACATATATGTATGTGTATATATGTATGTTTGCTTGTTTTGGGCACTTCCTATGTTCCGGACCACTGGAAATGTGGCAGAGAACAAGATAGACAAAGAGCCTGTGTTCTAGTGAAGGTGGACAAACACATAAGCAAACAAACAAGATAATTTCTCACAACGTTACATGCTGTGAAGACAACAAAACAGGGGTGAGTGAGTTAATAAAAGGTCTCTGTGAGGAAGCAGCATCTGCGCATGAGGAATCAGCTAAGACTGAAAGGTGTTATCAGGCAAAATGACAGCCAGTGCACAGGTAGGAATGAAACCGGCACATGTGAAGGGCTGAAAGGTGGCCAGTGTGACTGAAACAAGGTGACGGGTGGGAGGTGTAATGTCAGGACAGACTGAGAGGCAGGTACAGGCCATGTAGGCCATGGAAGGTGTTTGAGTATTGGTCAAAGTGCAGCTGGAAGCCACTGGAGGGTTTTAAACAGAACAAATCTAAACCATTTTTATTCTACCAAGGTACCATCACTCTACATAGAGCTCTCCTCTATGTCATCTTGGGATGTTAACTTCAACAGATAGAAACACTTAAAAAAGAGTCAGATACGACTGTATCTTAAGTCACAATCTCTCCCTTCTTTACAGAGTTCTATAGAATTTTGCCAGTCATCACCTCACTTATACAGGGCACAGATCACTGTTAATTAAGATTCTCATGAAATACTAACTCATGCAATATTAGAACATAATGGTCTAGGGGGCACCTGGCTGGCTCAGCCAGAACATGGGACTCTTGAGCTCAGGGTCAGGAGGTTAAGCCCCACGTTGGGTTTATTTTTATTTAAAAAAAACATAAAAAAATGTATACACATATACATTTTTTTTTTAAAAGAATATAATGGTCCACATTTGGTCAATGAAGAAAACAAAGGCCGAAAAAATCTTCAGGGTCAAGAACAACTAGGACAGGAACTGAGAATTCATTTCTTTGTTGTATTTCTTTTTTTTTTTTTTTTTTAATTTAAGTCATTTCTACACCCAACATGGGGCCCAAATCCACAACCCCGAGATCCAGAGTCACATGCTCTATTGACTGAGCCAGCCAGCCACCCATTGTAATGTCTTTTTGACACAATTGACCAAACTTGATTTCTCAGAAAGAAAAAAAAGTCAACAGAAACACAGAGATTTACCTTCTTTCTATCATCCTTCCTGTCAAATGCACACTGCTGCTTACACTGTTCACATGAATAGGGTGGTCCGTACTTCTTCTCTGAATTTGTGCAGCGCTGGCATTTGTTGCCAATAAATGCTGCAATTATGTTGCAATACTGACAAGGTTTGGGCTTAAAAAGAGAGGGAAAAAAAAACCAGGGTCAGCTAAGTATATTATAAAATACCAGTGCATTTTTTAAAGCAATAATTCCTATAATACAGTTCGTCGGTATCGTAAAAATGTATTCCCCACTTCATAAATTCCCTCCTACGCTGATCAAATGAAGCCCAAGTCCTAACACTATGTAAAGCGTTTTTCTGCATAGGACGATTGATTTTAAAACAAATAAATTAACAAAAAGGAAAAGCCCATTAGTGTAGATGCTGGAACTTCTGCAAGAAATTCAATAGAAACAGCTCTTTGAAGAGACCAGTAAGTGCTTCCAAATTTCTGAAAAGGCCTCTCTGCCATTATCACTGTATAAACAGGCTGGGAGAATGCCTGAAAGGACACAGTATAGAACCCTAACACTGAGAGACCAAAAAAAAAAAAAAAAATCATCAAATGAACAGTCAACTGCTACTTAACACATAGTACGATTCGTCTTTCCCTTCCTCTTTCCATACTGGTTACTGAAGCTCTCAAGGAAAATTATAACGACAATCCTGCCATCATGGCTATAAACACAGAGCTTTTCAAGAAGTATTAACTAAGACTGAAAGCTCAAATGCTAGATAAACTTTTCTGAGAAGTATTTACACATAAGATGTTCTAATAAAAATATGGTAATTGTATTAACCATCCACAGAATGTAAGATTCCAAGAGACCCGGGTACTCACTGTTAGGTACAGAGAAACTCTACTTACCGTTCCATATAACTGCACATTCTGAGCACACTTCTTGCATATTGTATTGGTTTTACTGTTAGGAAAAAAGAAACAAGGTGCTTTTATAAGAAAAAGGTTGCTTCACTTACAATATCTGAAAAACGATTCATACCTAAGCCCACAGGGTTTGCTCATTGCTAAGTGTCAAGGCGATATTTGGTCTGGACACTTGGTTAACTGAAGGCTGGGTATTTGGCCAATAACTCTTTTATTTATTAATTATTGTATGGTTATTAATTTTATGAGCTCAGATAAAATGAGGTTTTGGTTAAAGTGGAGAGTGAGTTAATTCTGAGTATCACATTTCTAAGTATCACTAAACAAAGTTAACAAATGTGGACAGGACCCTCAAAAGAATATTATGTTAGACCAAAATGGACTAGCAGTAATTCTCAATTTAGATGAACATGTGAGAAACTTGAGATGAGGAATAAAGTATATGTGTTTGGGATACAAACTCAGAGATTCTATTCATGTTGACTTTACTCTGTCTACACCCTCCTCTGTAACTAAAAGCACATGAAAATCCGAGATGTGAGGAAATGGATGCTATAATCAAATATTTTGTCAATATTTCCAATTTCTCTAAGAACTAATCACGGACAAAAATAAAAGTGTCTTCTGTCTTGTGAAGGTCCAGAGACCTATATCATCTAAATAATCTGAACTGATAAACTGCCTTGGGGGGAAAAATCATCTTCAAATAAAGTCTAATTGTTCACAAAGGGAGGTACAAACAAATGCTTAATGTGCAAGAAGAGTTTAAACAATATTCTGGGGCTGAAAATAAAGTCACACAAAAATACAGTCTATTAGCTATTTTGTGATTATTTTTCCCATAAAGTCCTATAAAAGTGACCATAAAGTTAAAACAAAGAAAGACCTTAAAGTAGAAAACATTTAAATTAAAATGAAATATTCAAATAAAATATTTTCCAGGGCGATTTTCTGCCATTTTAAAGAGGCAGTACAAGATGTGAGGTGCACTGAAAGAAACCTCTAGAAAGAGGATTCACATCGGTGATTCTAGGATGTTGAGCATTTTTGTTTATATTTAGATTTATTACCAAAGAAGGAGGATTTATATGTCTCAATATATACAAATGTTCCTGACATCTTAGAAATAGAAAACATACAAAGAAAAGTTATTTTGGACCGCATGGGTGGCTCAGTCTGGCTCCTGATTTCGCAGTTTCTTGAGTTCGAACCCCATGTCGGGCTCTGCACACTGACTGAGCCAGAGCCTGCTTTGGATTCTCTCCCTCCCTCTCTTTGTCCTTCCTCAACTTGTTCTCTCTCTCTCAAAATAAATAAATAAGCTTAAAAAAGAAAAACTATTCCTATGATCCATCTTGAATCATTTTTTTTAAGATTTTCTTTTTCTTTTTTTTAAATTTTTAATGTTTTACTTATTTCTGAGAGAGAGAGAGAGACAGCGTAAGCAGGGGAGGGTCAGAGAGAGAGGGAGATACAGAATCTGAAGCAGCAGGCTCTGAGCTGTCAGCACCGAGTCCGAAGCGGGGCTCAAACCCACGAACCATGAGATCATGACCTGAGCCGAAGTCGGATACTTAACTGATTGAGTCACCTAGGAGCCCCTAAGATTTTATTTTTCTAAGTAATCTCTACACCCAATCTGGGACTCAAACTTACAACCCCGGGATCAAAAGTTGCATGCTCCAACAACTGCACCAGCCAGGTGCCTCCATCTTTAATCAATTTTTACGTACAGTGTAAATTAAGGGTCCAACTTCATATCTCACCCTACACCCAAAAATTAATTCAAGGTGGATCACAGATCCAAATATAAAAGCTAAAACATAAAGCTTCTAGATTATGTTTTATGTTTCCATTTCTATGAAGGGCTAAAACAGGTAAAACTGCTCTATGGTGGGGAAAAAAAATCAGCACAGTAGTTGTACGGGGGAAGCAAGAAGGGTAGAGACTGAGTGGGATGAAGGATGAGAGGACTCTCGGGGGTGATGGGAATGTTCTATATTTTGAAAGGGCTGATGGGGCGCCTGGGTGGCTCAGTTGGTTAAGCGTCCGACTTCAGCTCAGGTCTTGATCTTATGTCTCGTGGGTTCAAGCCCCACGTCGGGCTCTGTGCTGACAGCTAGCTCAGTGCCTGGAGCCTGTTTCAGATTCTGTATCTCCCTCTCTTTCTGACCCTCCCCGGCTCACGCTGTCTCTCTCTCTCTCTCTCAGAAATAAATAAAAAACATTAAAAAAAATCTTAAAAAAATAAAAAAGAAAGGGTTGAGGGTTACAGATATATGCTGTTTGCAAAACTCATCGAACGATGTACTTAAGATTTGAGCACTTCACTGTGCGGAAATTTTACCTCTAAAAAAATAAAGGACCGTAAACAAAATATCAAGCTTTGTTAACAAAATGCATGCTTAAGTGTTCAGGACCAAGTATACTGATGTCCACAACTTTAAAATGAATCGTAAATAAGATGGATTAACACCATCTTATAAGGGGCACCTGGGTGGTCCAATTGGTTGAGCACCCAACTCTTGATTTCAGCTCAGGTCACAAACCCAGGGTCTTGGGATCAAGCCGTGCATAGGGCTCCACACTGCACGTAGAGTCTACTTGGAATTCTCTCTCTCTCTCTTTCTCCCTCTGCCCTCCCCCCTGCTCACTCTCTCTCTCTAAAATTTAAAAAAAAAAAAATTGATGGATAGATGCAAGTACAATAAATGTAAACTGTAGAATTGAAGTGGTAGGTATGTGAGTGTTCACTGTTAAATTCTTTCAACTTTTTCTCGTTTGAAAACATCCATAATAAAATGTTGGGGAAAATGTTGTCCTAGAATTGAAATAAGGCTGATTAAAATTGGGTTTCCAGGTCTATGTGTGAGCTAGCAAATAGACCCCACCCTGCTTTAAGGAACTATGATCTACAGGTACAGTCCCACAGAACTTAACTATACCAATAAACGACTTTGCTGCTATTGAAAACCAACAAACTACTCTGCTGCTGTTAAAAAGTCTCCCGGGGCGCCTGGGTGGCTCAGTCGGTTGAGCATCTGACTTCAGCTCAGGTCATGATCTCACAGTTCGTGTGTTCGAGCCCCGCATCAGGCTCTGTGCTGACAGCCAGCTCAAAGCCTGGAGCCTGCTTAAGATTCTGTGTCTCCCTCTCTCTCTGACCTTCCCTGCTCATGCTGTCTCTCTCTCTCTCTCTCTCTCGGAAATAAATAAAACATTAAAAAACTTTGAAAAAAAAAAAAAAGTCTCCCAAAGATGTGTGCTCACTTACACCTAGATGTTTTTCACATTTTTAAAAATGAGATTTACATAAGGCAAGTAAATTTCAAATGTGGCTAAGGCTAACAAACCCTTTATCAGAATAGTCATATTTCCAAAAGTCTCTTCTTTTGGCTTAGAAATTCTTCAAGCTTTGAACGTAAGCATTCTGAAACATAAGGCTCATGTTTTACTGTTGTGGTTTCTTAGTGTCATAAAGATCATAACCACGATATAAAATGGTCAAGGATCTGAAAACTAACTCTAAAAATTTAAGCTAGGGGCACCTGTTTGGCTCAGTCAGTGGAGCGTGCGACTCAGTCTTGGGGTTGAGAGTTCGAGCCCCTGTTGGGTGTAGAGATTATTTTTAAAAAGTCATTAAAAAAAATTTAAGCAGTCAATGGATAACTAGGGAACAAGATGCTTTTTATATGCGTCAATGTGTTACAATAAAAAGCCCTGCAGAATCTGTGTATAATGCAATCAATTACAGATCTGTACACTGAAAAGCAACTAATTAAGAGGAAAAAGCCTATTAACATCTTTCATGGTCAACAGAAACTGTACCTCTCCTGCTGGTACTCAGTCCTACAGTAGGTGCACTTCACAACAGGGTGTGCAATCCGACATTCCTGAAATGAAATGAGGATATAATTTTAAAAGGCAGTCAGAAATGGAAATAGCCTTTAGTAGGAGGTAGAAGACCTGGGTACTATTTCCAGCATAGCCGCTGTGCTTGAGTGAGTCACTTGAACTTTCTGGGCCTTAGTTTTCTCTTCTGTAATATTGGCATCACTGCCCTGCATTGATGTGGAAGTTAAGAAAGAATTTACATGGAATTAGTCATAAATTGTAAGACAAAAGTATGCTTGAATAAGTCTCAGACTAGGAATCAGAAGCCCTGGATTCTAGTTCCTGTTCTGCCACTCCCACTGTTTGATTTTTGACCAGGTCCACTTGTGAAATGAAATGCTAAATTAAAATCGTTATTGCTGACCTATATGAAACTTCCTTAAAATCAGCATATATATTTCAAATGCATACATATTTTTATTTATATAAAGACCCTCCAAAAAAGGCACCCAAACATTTGAGTTCTCTCCTACCCGGTAGAGTGACAAAGTCATGGCCATTTGAGGCAACGGTGACATGAGTTACCCATACCAGAGACAAACTCTGGATTAGCTGAGAATATCTCAAATCACTCGCAGGACGGCTTCGTGACTTTTAACTGTCACCTCACAGCACTTCTATTAATTTAAATAGGCAAAGCAGGATGAAAGCAACTCAAATTAAAAAAAAAAAAAAAAAAAAGAACTTGGACCTTCAAGGGTAAAAACTGAATAGTAGCTGATTAGGACCAGGACTGAAGGTCACCAACTGTATGCCGAAAAATTATTTTACTTCGTGCGCTTAATTTTGGGGCTTTTCTATAAAGCCTCGCTACCTCCGTCTCTGAAACTGGCCGTAAAGTGCCCGTGAGGCGCCCGAGTTGGAGGCTCTCGTCCTAGGCAGCACCCAACTCTGGAGTTCAGTCCCAGGCGAGGCAAGGTCCCTCAGTGTGCAACCAGCGGCAGGGAAGCCAGCCCGGGAGGGAGGGATCTCGGTTCGGCTGGTCCGGGTCAAGCAGGGGACCCGCTGACCCCTCCCCAGACTTCACGGGGTCCGAGAACAATCCCTCGCGGTTGCTAAGCACCCGGACACGCCGCCCGCGGGGGCCGTCCGCCCGGGACTCCCCCACGTGCCCCGCTGGCCCCCAGCGGGGCGGGTGCGGCGCCTCAGCTAGGCGGGCCTGCCACGCCCTGCCCGGGGGACGCCGCCGGGCGGCCCCGCAGAACAGGGGGCTCCGGGCCGAGCCTCTAGCGTCCCAGTTCCCGGCCGCCGCCCCAGCCCGCGCACCTTGCACAGCTGCTGCCCCTGAGACAGCGCCTCGAAGGGGAAGCGCTGGTGGCACTTGGTGCAGGCGTAGAGCGCCGCCATGTCCGGCCCGGGCCGTGCTCAGCGCCCAACCGGCCGGCTCGCCGCTTTATCTGACAGTCTAAGGGACAAGCTGGCGGCGGCGGCAGCAAGCTGCGGGCTGCGGCAGGCGGGCGGGTCGGCGAGTGCGGGCGGCTCTGGGCGGGCACGGCGGCGCTGGTCGCCCGTTCACTGGTTTATTTCGACGTCCATCAAGCATGAAGGGGCGGAACACAGAGCTTGGGAAGATTCTGATTCGGTCTGAACTGGAGTACGCCACTTATGACGTGCGCGGCCTCGATTATGTAAAGCGCAGTCACGCGGGGGCGCCACTAGGAGGTACCTTCTCCCGCCCGGGACCTCGGAAGCGCCCAGACTCCTCCCACTTCGCTCTTTGTTCCCGCCCTCGCTCCGCCTCTCCCCTGCTGCGGCCGCAACGGCGCTTCTCGCGATACCTCCGCGGAGTTGTGATGTTTTGGTTTCCATGGAGCTGCCCTCTGGGAGCCGGGAGGGGTGCGGCTGCTCCAGGAGTTGCGCATTGTTGAACTAGAACTCGAGCACGATCCCGAGCCTCAGAAAGGTGGGGGGCTTGTGAGAGAACTCTACCATCATCAGGACAGGAGGGGCCCGCACTAGGGAGGGAGAAGAGGAAACCATGAGAACGTAAAAGGGGTGCCCTCTGAGATCCCTAAAAAGAGGGGGGAACTGTAGGATCGTTGACTTCCAGAGAGAAAGGGGGAAGCCCCAGAGAGAAGACGCCTGTGTTGAGAAAGAGGGATGCTAGAGTGATACCCGCCCCAGCACGAAGTAGAAGACTAAGGCGAGGCTCTTCCACCCCTGAGAGTTCTGCTCTGGTGGCCTCCCTCAAAGCGGGATGCAATTGGCCTGAGGCCTGCTTCGTACTTTGTGTTCCCAGTTGCACGCCCAGCTTCTCTTGCAGTCACCAGGGGTTTCATGGCTGCCCCTGCCTCCACCCCTACCCCAAGGCAAGCCACGCCCTCCTGGCTACTCTGCCTCTCTGAAGCTCTCAGCTTGGCACACATAGGGGCTGCCCAAGAAATTATGAGCTTCTTGTTCTTGAGACTTTGGCAAAGCTTCCTGCAGTGCTGACCTTTCCAAGTCCCTGCCTCGTAGATGCTTCTGGGCTTAGATTATTTTTGGTTCTGCCAACCACCTATGCAGTACTAATTGCACTTTTCCTTCAACGTGCATTTTTCTACAATTAAGGACGCACTTAACGGTTTCTAAATCCCTGTCCCGACAAAATTTACTGTCTCTGAAACTCAAATCCATCCCCTTTCTTGGGGGGGTGCCGAAAGATGCGTATTAATCAAAGATTTAGGCTCTGGGGTCAGAAAACTAAGGTTTAAAATCACTGTCCCACATTTACTAGTTATACAACCTTGGACTTAACCGCTGAATTTCTCAGAGCCTCACTTCCCTCAGTTGTACAACCAGATCATTGTGAGGATGAAAAACAGTACATGAAGGGTAATGGGAAACTACTTAATAACTATGGTGTGTTACTTTGGAGGGATGGAAACGTTTTGGAACTCAATAGAGAACAATGTTGGGGTACGGGAGAAGGTGAGGGGAGTCACCAGGGTAGAGAAGGCCAGGGAAAAATTTTCTGAGGAGGTGCCAAGATGTCAAGGTCAAGAAGAACTTAACCATATGACTTAGCCAAGAATGTTCTGAGCAGAGGGAAAGGTGAACAGCCTGAAGTAGAATAAAGCTTGGCGTGTTTAAGAGTGAAGAAGAAGCTGCTATAGCTGGAAATTAGCAAGACAGAGGCAAGTAGAGAGGTCAGCAGGAGGTGGCTGGGGCCAGATGTACAGACCCTGGTACATTTTTTTTTCCCCCAAAGGACAATGTATGTAGTATAATGCGGAAGAGGCCATTGGCCATTTTTTTTTTTAAATATTTTTATTTATTTCTAGGAGAGAGAGAGACAGACAGCGTGAGCAGGGGAGGGTCAGAGAGAGAGGGAGACACAGACTCTGAAATAGGCTCCAGGCTCTGAGCTGGCAGTCAGCACAGAGCCCGACGCGGGGCTCGAACCCACGAACTGCGAGATCATGACCTAAGCGAAAGTCGGACGCTTAACCGACTAAGCCACCCAGGCGCCCCCCATTGGCCATTTTTAAGCAGACAAGTGACAGATTTGTATTTTTAAGATTTGTCTGAGTGCTATGAGGAAAATAGAGTGTAGGGGGGCAGTGTAAATGCATAGAGACCGGTGAGGAGTCTATTGCAGTCCTCCAGGTGAGAGGTGACCATTAAAATGTTACAGTGAGGGAGGGGCGCCTGGGTGGCTCAGTCGGTTAAGCATCCCATTTCAGCTTAGAGCATGGTCTCAAAGTTTGTGGGTTTGAGTCCCACATTGGGATCTACACTAACAGTGTGGAGCCTGCTTATGGTTCTCCTTCTCTCTCTGTCTCTCTCCTTCTGTTTGCCCCTCCTCTGCTCACACACACACTCTCTCCCCAACTAAATAAATTTTAAAAAATAAAACAAGATGTTGCAGTGAGAGAAGTGGACAGATTCAAGATATACTTTGGAGAGCGAGTCAACAGGATTTAGAGATGGATTCGATTTAGAAGGTGGAAAGGGAAAGAAAGAAATGTATCCAGCTCTGTGGATAGTGGTATCATTTCCAGCAAAAGGGAAGATTAGAAAGACAGGTTTCAGAAAACCGAGAGTTTTATTTTTGACATACAGGCACACATCATTTTATTGAGCTTGGCTTTATTGCACTTTGCAGAGATTACATTTGTACACATTGAAAGTTTGGGGCAACGCTGCGTCAAGCAAGTCTGCACCATTTTCCCAACAACATTTGTTTACTTGTCTCTGTCACATTTTGGTAATTCTTGCAATAGTTCAAATCTATTGTATTTGTTATGGTGATCTGTGCTCAATGATCTTTGATGGTATTATTGTAATTATTCTGGGGTGCCATGAACCACGCTCATATAAGACAGTAAACTTGATTGAAAGATGTGTGTGTTCTGACTGCTCTATGAACCAGCTGTTTCCTCCTCAGACCTCGCTATTCTCTGAGACACAGGGAACAGTATCGGAAGTAGGCCCATTTATAACGCTACAATGGCCTCTAAATGTTCAAGTGAAAGGAAGAGCCAAATGTCTTTCACTTTAAATCAAAAGCTAGAGGGACGCCTGGGTGGCTTGGTCGGTTAAGTGGTTAAGCGTCTGACCTTGGCTCAGGTCATGATCTCACGGTTCTTGAGTTTGAGCCTTATGTCCAGCTCTATGCTGACTGTTCAGAGCCTGGAGGCTGCTTCAAATTCTATGTGTGTGTGTGTCTCTGTGCCCCTCCCCCAGTTGTGCTCTGTCTGTCTTTGTCACTCAAAAATAAATAAACATTTAAAAAAATAAATCAACGGCTAGAAATGATTGAGCTTAGTGAGGAAGGCTTGTCAATAGCTGAGATGGGCCGAAAGCTAGGCCTGTTGTGCTAGTGAGCCAAGTTGTGAATGCAAAGGAAAAGTTCTTGAAGGGAATTAAAAAGTGCTACTCCAGTGAGCACATGAATGATAAGAAAGCAAAATAGCCTCATTGCAGATATGAAGAAAGTTTGAGTGGTCTGGATAGGAGACCAAACCCACCACAACATTCCCTTAAGCCAAGGCCTAATCTAGAGCAAGGCCCTCACTCTTCAATTCTATGAAGGCTGAGAGAGGGAAGGAAGCTGCAGAAGAAAAGTCTGAAGCCAGCAGAGCTTGGTTCATGAGGTTTAGGGAAAGAAGCCATCTCCATAGCAAAAAATGCAAGGTGAGGGGCCCCTGGGTGGTTGAGTCGTTTAAGCGTCAGACTTGGGCTCAGGTCACAAACTCACAGTCCATGAGTTCAGCCCCGCATTGGGCTCTGTGCTGACAGCTCAGAGCCTGGAGCCTGCTTCAGATTCTGTGTCTCCCTCTCTCTCTCTGTCCCTCCCTGATTCCCGCTCTGCCTATCTCTCTCACAAATACATAAACATTAAAAATTTAAAAAAATAAAAATAAAAAATGCAAGGTGAAGCACCAAGTGCTGATGTAGAGGTTGCAGCAAGCTCTCCAGGAGATCTCGCTGAGATAACTGATGAAGGTGGCTACTCTAAGCAACATATTCTCAGTGTAGATGAAACAGCCCTCTATTGGAAGAAGAAGCTGTCTAGGACTTTCATAGCTAGAGAAGAGAAATCAATGATCGGCTTTGAAGCTTCAAAGGACAGGCTGACTCTCCTGTTAGGGGCTAATGCAGCTGATGACTTTAAGTTGAAGCCAATGTTCATTTCCATTCCCAAAATCCTTAAAAACTATGCCAAATCTACTCTGCCTGTGCTGTATAAATGGCAAAACAAAGCCTGGATGAAGTTTACGATGTGGTTTACTGAATATATATTTTTTAATGTTTTTTTTTAATTTTTTAAGTGTTTTATTTATTTTTGAGAGAGATAGACACAGCATGAGCAGGGGAGGGTCAGAGAGAGAGGGAGACATAGAATCTGAAGCAGGCTCCAGACTCTGAGCCAGCTGTCAGCACAGAGCCCGACGCGGGGCTCGAACCCACGAACCATGAGATCATGACCTGAGCTGAAGTCGGACGCTTAACTGACTGAGCCACCCAGGCGCCCCTAATGTTTATTTTTGAGACGGAGGGAGAGAGGGGGAGAGAGAGAGAGAGAGAGACCAAGAGGGGGGAGGGGCAGAAAGAGAGGGGGACAGAGGATCCAAAGTGGGCTCTGAGGTGACAGCAGTGAGCCCGATGTAGGGCTCGAACCCATAAGAACCCACAAACCAGGAGATCAGGACCTGAGCCAAAAATGGACGCTCAACTGACTGAGCCACCCAGACACCCCTGTTTACTGAATATTTTAAGCCCACTGTTGAGACCTACTGCCAGAAAAAAGATTCCTTTCAAAATATTACTGCTCATTGACAATGAACCTGGTCACCCAAGCTCTGATGTAGATGTTCAATGAGATTCATGTTGTTTTCGTGCCTGCTAACACATCATCCATGCTGAAGCCCGTGGATCAAGGAGTAATTTTAACCTGAAGTGTTATTATTTAAGAAATATATTTCTTGAGGGGCACCTGGGTGGCTCAGTTGGT